ATTAATAAATTAATGTCGAATTTTTATTAAATTGTTAATAAATAATTTTGTGACAAACTTTTAATAAATTATTGTCAAATTGTTAATGAATTATTGTCAAATTAGTAATGAATTATTTGACAAATTGTTAATAAATTTTTTGACAAATTGTTAATATGTTGATTTTTATAGTTACTGATTTATTTATGTCATTTTTTTGCTAAATTATTTATTTTTTGCAGAATGTTACACAAATAGTGGTATGTTGAATAATTTTTTTTTGCCAAATTGTTTATTTTTTGCTGAATGTTACATGAATGGTAATATGCCAAATAATTTTTTTTCAACTAGTGAGATAAAATTTCTTAAAAAATTATAAAAATAAAAATTTTAAGAGAATTAAACAATTAAAAAGAAAAAAAATAAGCTTTTCTACTATAATTAATTTCATTAACCTCTTGTTTCAAAGGTTAAAAAGATTTCTAGATACTTCATAATTAGTTTTTCTTTTCTTGAAAACTTTTTTACCATTGATATTAAAGATATTATTTTACAAAAAGTTAAGTTTTTAAGTAAAAAGATTTATAAATAAAAAAAAAAGAGTAAAAATAACTTTTGAAATTATACTTCAGATTATTTTAAGGAAAATATTAAGACTTTATTAACAAGAAAGTATAAAAATATCTTTTTTTGTATATAATTAGAAAATCAACATAAAGAATTTTTTATTTTTGAATATTTTATTATTATAATTCAATATACTATATTTTTCAACATCAGTATACTATATATTTCTTTTTTTATTATTATTATCTTTTATCCTGATATAAACATAATAAAACTTAGGCTTACTAGAATTGCAAATTTATAAGTAATAAAAATAATTACATTCATATTATTTATTTTTTACAAAGCAAAAAATTGTCTCATAATAATACTGGAGTTTATAATTTAGCACTAGATATACAGTATAGATACTTGTGCATTAAAGTTTTCAAATTAATCAAAAGGAAGAGTTGCACATTTAAGTATTAACTTCGAGTGCATTTAAAAAGTTGTGTGAATGCATTTAGAAAGGGTTTTATTTAAAAAACTTTTTTATACAACAAAATTCGAGTTAATCTTTTGTGTTACTTTGATACGTAAGCTCGGTTGCGTAATTGATGAAACTACGCAATCTATTGTCGTTGACCAAGATTTCATCCATCTCATTAATTCTTTAGCAGCAATTATCACAGAGAATAATGGCTGGTTTAACTTCGGCGGGTATGATGAATTGAATTGAATTAAATGGTTAATTTTATTCTTTTACTGAATATGCTTCTATTGAAAAGGTGGTATAATTGCTTTACTCGACGAGCCAGACGAGCAACTGAAAATATACGCACTACAAAAATTAAACACACTCGTTGATCAATTTTGGGCAGAGATCTCGGATGCAGTCTCCAAAATGTGAGTGTTCAGATTTCGAATTAAAGTGAAATTTGTGAATGACAACTTCAAAGCTCCAATCGCGCAATCGTTGAAAGAAAGAGCATTTGATCATGTCAGTTGGTCTACACGTGCTTTCTAAAATTGCGGCACGCATTTTCGTTGGAAAAGAAGGCTTACTCTGTTGGGATCTTCTTGCATAGCGAAATTCTTTATGAAAACGAATACTTCCCGCAAAGACCGTTGTCTGCACTCGTGGCTTCGAAGGTAAGTCATTTTAGATTTGTTGGAATTAAGACCGTACGTTAATCGCGTCATTTTAATCTAGGTCTATTACCATCTTGGAGAATTCGATGATTCGTTAACTTTTGCTCTGGGAGCTGGTGATCTATTTGACGCGTCATCTAAATCGGAATATGTCGAGACTATTATATGTAGGTTTACTATATATATCTGGCGATGTTTTTTATGTGTAAATAATCTTTACATTGTGCAACGCCTATATTGAGACTAATAAAAATATTCCACTTTTAGCTAAATGCATTGATAAATACATCACCTTACGTGTTCAACAATCTGAAGATAATTCAGACGAATGCGTAATAGACTCTCGTCTGCAAGATGTTGTCGAGCGAATGTTTAAGCGATGTTATGAAGATGGAGAATTCAAACAAGTAATTTGGAGATTTATATTTATACACTTTTGTTGCGAATCTAAACTTGTATTTAGTGTATTGTTTTAAAAATTTGGATAAGGCTATTGGCATTGCTTTAGAAGCGCGCCGCCTGGACGTTATTGAAGAAATAATATCCAAAGGTCAAGCTGCTGAACTTTTATCCTACGTCCTGGAAGTAAGCATGACATTGGTGCTTAATTTGGATTTCAGAAATAAGGTATAATCATTTGTTTTAACAATTTTGTTTGAATGACTATCTTTAAATAATGGAATCTAATATATCCATGCTTTGGATTTTATAGGTTTTGCGACTGTTGGTCGAGTTATATAAAAATCTTGCGGAGACAGACTATGTTTCGATTAGCCAATGTTTTGTACATCTAAATGATCCCGATTCGGCATCCCAAATGTTACAAGACCTAATGGATAAAGGAGACGATGTAATAATCTTCTGTAAAATCATTTACATATGTTGTAATACGACAACAGGCTAACCAAATATATGCATATTTTGAATCTAAGTATTATTTATTAATGGCTTACCAAATTGCGTTCGATCTTGAAGAAAATGCTACGCAAGAATTTCTCCAAAAAGTCGTCAAAAAATTACCCGTTGCATCATCAACTTATCATGAAAAACGGGATGCTGAAGCGATGGAAACAGACGAAACAGAAGTATGTTAAAAAAAAAAATAAAATTTTTTTGAGGTTATATTACAATTCTTATTAACTGATCGTCATATTATATAAATTAAGCCGTCAAATTCATTAGATGAAAAATACGCCCGTATTCGCAGTATATTGTCAGGAGAAGAGTCAATTAAATTGCATTTAGAGTTCTTGTATCGCAATAACCATACCGATTTACTTATATTAAAGAACACAAAGGTGCGAGTTATATTCTATAACATTAGCCAAAACAAGAATTTCGAAGTATAATTTTTTGTTCATATAATTACAGAATGCATTGGAATCTCGAAATTCGGTTTACCATTCAGCAGTCACGTTTGCAAATGCATTTATGCATGCTGGTACGACAAGTGATGATTTTTTGCGCCAAAATCTTGAATGGCTAGCACGTGCCACGAATTGGTCTAAATTTAGTGCAACAGCAGCCCTTGGTGTTATACACAAGGTAATTAACTGAAGAATTATCATAATTTTCATTATCAAAATTTTTCTCAACTATCGATCTCTTTTTACAGGGTCATTTATCTCAGGGGCTTAACTTGTTACAACCGTATTTGCCACAGGAAGGCACTAGCGGGAGTCCTTACTCGGAAGGTGGATCATTATTTGCCTTAGGACTAATTCATGCGAATCATGGTGCTGGAGTATTGGAATATTTGAGAGAAGCTCTAAAAAACGCTCTAAAAAATACTGAAAATGATGTCTTACAACACGGAGCATGTCTTGGCCTTGCAACTGCAGGAATGGCTACTGGAAATGATGGTATTTTAATTGTTACATAGTTGAAGTTAATAATTGTTCAGCAAATTAAATAAATTCTTAACTTCTATAAGAAATATATAAGGAGCTTGAAACTGTACTTCACAATAATAACGCTGTAGCTGGAGAGGCTGCCGGAATAGCTATGGGACTCGTTATGCTTGGAACTGCTAAGAGCGATTCAATCACACAAATGTTGGATTATGCACACGACACTCAGCATGAAAAAATCATCAGAGGTTTGGCTATTGGCATATCGTTAATAATGTATGGTAAAGAGGAGGCAGCTGACAACGTGGTCGAACAGCTCAGTCGTGACAAGGTGTGAATGGAACTTTAGCATCTTATTAGTCTTTGACGTCATTATTATAATTTCCTAATTACAATAATCTCTTATTGTTATTAAGGATCCTATTTTACGTTACGGTGGGATCTATACTGTTGCGATGGCTTATTGCGGTACTGGGAACAATAAGGCCATACGTCATTTATTACATGTTGCTGTTAGCGATGTCAATGATGATGTGCGTCGTGCTGCTGTTACTGCACTCGGATTTATTCTGTTTAAAACACCTAAGCAGGTCCCTAGAATTGTTCAATTATTATCAGAAAGTTATAATCCAAATGTGAGATATGGTGCCACATTGGCATTGGGTATTTCATGTGCAGGAACTGGCTTGATGGTTTGCTTATTTTCTTTTTTTCTTGTATATTAGCAAATTGAGATGTTTAATTGGTTAAAATTAAAATTTTTAGGAAGCAATAGAACTCTTGGAGCCAATGACAAAGGATCCAGTTGATTACGTGCGTCAAGGAGCGTTTATTTCTCTTGCCATGATTCTAATACAACAGAATGATGTCATCAATCAAAAGGTATGGATTATGTATAATATCTTATTGTCTCTAAATGCAAGTTCGCTTATGTTTAATCGTTTTATAGGTATCTTCAACCCGTAAATTGTACGAAAAAATTATAAATGATAAACATGAAGATGCGATGGCAAAATTTGGTGCTGTTCTTGGTCAGGGAATTATTGACGCAGGTACATACCCGACAATCACATCAGTTGATGATCTATCGTCGCATTAATTTCTTTGATTTATTAGGGGGACGAAATGTCACCATATCTTTGCAATCAAGATCTGGTCATTTAAATATGCCGGCCATTGTCGGAATGGCAGTATTTACTCAATTTTGGTATTGGTTCCCATTGACCCATTTCCTTAGTTTGTCATTTACACCTACTGCGATTATAGGGTTGAACAAAGAATTAAAGGTAATTCCCACGTTGCTTTATCTTCATTTAACGGAGTTACGGTTTGTAACTTGATTGAACATTTAGATACCAAAATTTGAGTTTGTGTCCAAGGCAAAACCTTCATTGTTTGCCTATCCTGCTACTACAAAGCCTCCAACAACGAATGTTGTAGAGAAGGTAAAGATTAAACCAGGCATACTAAAAGATTTATAAGTTATCATTTAGTAAATATTTTATCTCTACACAATAAGGTGGCTACTGCCGTGCTCTCTACTACAGCAAAAGCGAAGGCGAGAGCAAAGAAATCTGAAAAAGAAAAAGGAGTGTTAGATATGGATGTTATGGATATTGCGGTGAATATTGTTATTTTATTTTATTTATTTTTTCAAATACTAAAATTTTAGTAATATCTACTTAGGACGATAAGAAGGATATTTCGATGGATCACGTTAAAAAAGAAGAGGATAAGGTTCAAATTTTATACCTGTATATTACTTCCTTTAGTATAGTTATTAATTATGTGCTTTTTTGTCTCCTAGGACGAAGTTAAAGATGACAAAAAGGGAAAGAAGAAAAGGGAGGAGGCATATGAAATTCTCGAAAATATGGCACGTGTCCTGCCAGCACAATTACAATATATTTCATTCTCAGAAAGCTCGCGTTATGTTCCTGTTAAAAAGGTATATTCTCTATCAACATAATTTGCTTATACATCCTGTTGAAAAAAAACTTTATAGAATATTTTCATTTATAAAGGGTGTAGTCGGTGGAATTTTAATGATGGTAGATAAAACACCTGGGGAACCCGAAGAACTCATTCTACCGAGTGCGCCTGTCGGTAAGTAAACAAAGTAGTTTTTGTTCTTTATCTTTTTTTATATTCATTTTATTTTACTTTTCAGCTACCGAGGTGACTGAAGAAAAGGAAGCACCACCGCCAGAACCTTTTGAATATCCATTTGATGAAAAATAAATCCAGCCCATTGCAATAGACTTATCAATCTCGCTCTTCTACTAGAAAAGCATACTGATAGAAATGACTTCTTCATATAAATAACAAAAAAAAAACCATATGAAGTAATTGAGTTGATTATTTTTTTATTATTTATGAAATCTTGAGGCGAATAGCAAAGCGGCTATGTAATGAATTTGATTTATGAATATAGATGAAATTACAATAATTGTGGATCTAAAAGAAATAGCGAGCATGAAATCAAAATTAACTAATATCAATAATATTAGTTAATGAATTTTTACTTATTTTTTAACTCAATAAATCATGAATTAATAATTGTAAAATTGTAAAAAAATTTATTATTATTAATTAAGAAAAAAATTTTAAGTATTGTTTAATTTTTTATATAGGATATACAGTAGCTCACAAAAGTTTTGATTTATTTTATTTTAATAAAAAATATATTAATTATAATGTTATAAAATAATCAAAATGTTTTTTAACTCTTTGTCAGGCTAGCTATGTATACTTTATTAAACAATTGTAAGCTATACATTATAATATGAATCACTAAAGCTAAAAACTCTAATCAACTCATTTGTCTTTGTAATTATTACTCTAAATGCAACTTTGAAAATGATTTTTTATTCTATTAAGAGTTCAGGTAAAAATCCTTTCAACTCTTAATATCATTATTTGCAGATTACTATTACAAATCGTTTTTAAGTTCTGATTGAACTCAAAATCCAACTATTTTATTTCAAATCTAATCCTTCTTGATAAGATATTCTTCAGGTTTTAATTTTCTAATCTTTCTTCCTTTAATACTGGAGCTCTTCTTTTTGATAATATAGTTTTATAATCTTAAAAACTAAGAGATCTTTTTATCTTATTTTTTTTCTATATTTCTTGTATTCTTTTCTATTTTATTATCTTTTCATATCTTGTATTTCAAATTTTCTTATGGAATTGATTGCATATTATATTTTACATCTTTTTTATCTATTTTCTTATTTCTTTTTTAACTCTTTTATTATAGTATTTAAATCTATCAATTTAAGAATTGGTTTATTTCTTATTAGTCCAGCACAAAAATTTAATATTTTCTAATTTGTTATTAAGTTTGTTCTACTAGTTTAAATGTTTACTTATCAATTTTTTATATTTTTTCTCTATTATTTACTATCAATTACATATTCTTCTTTGCAACTTCCTTTTATCTTTCTTATAAAAGTTCACTAAAGTTCCTAAAAGCTTCTTCAAAATCTCTGTTTCATGTTTCTTTTATTTATTTCTTATAAACTAGATATTTTAATAAAAAAAAATTTTTTTAATTATAATCCTCTGTCAGGCTAGTTATGTGTGCTTTATTAAATAATTGTAAGCTATATATTATATATATGTCATTAAAGCTAAATCTCTAACTAACTCACTTATCAAAGTCTTACATTTATCTAAGACTCTAAGTACAACTTTGGATGTGATTTATCACTTCGTTAGTAATTCAGGTAAAAACTCTTCCAACTTCTAACATTATTGTCCGCAGGTTACTACTGTGGATTACTGTATGATGTTCTGACAAGAATAAAAACCTCAACCACTTTATCCCATATTTAATCCCATTTCTTATAATTTCTATCAGGTTTTTGTTTTCCTTCTCTTTCACTTTTTCTCTTTACCTTGTGCTTTTGCATTTGGGATTATCTTGTGGGTCTTGCCTTCTTGTTTCCTAGGCCTTCGTATATTTTGCTCGTCTATCAATTTTTTGTCTTATTCCCATTTCATGATTTTTTCACATCTCACATTCTAGACTTGTTTTCAAATCTGGTTGCAAATCTTCTTTTGTACTTTTAGAATCTATTTTTTTGCCATTATTCCCAACTTCTTTCCATAACAGTTTATGTTAGTAGCTTTTTTGATTGTATCACTTTCTACTAATCCTGTGCAAAAGTTGAGAGTGCTTGAACCAGTTTGCGAGGTTAATTTTATTAGTCTGGAGGTTCATTTATCTAATTCATCTTTTTTTTTTCTATTGTCAACTGTTAGTTATATCATTTTTTTGTCTGCTTCCCTCTTACGTTCTTGATACAACTTATTGAATTCTTTAAGAAAAGTCTTGGATCCTTTTTGCCATGCTGCTAGGATCTCAATCTTATAAACAGAGCATTCTAATAAGTGTTCTATTGTTTTTTAATACTGATTACATGCTATACCTCTTGTTTACTTGTATAGATCTGATCTTCTTATTATTAGCTTGCTTAAGGTAGACAGTTTATCATTGGTCAATTTAATCAGGAAACTTCTTCTCTGTGAGCTTTTGAAGGAGGTATCCCATGTATTTTCATCTTTTAACCTATTTCCTATTAGATCCCATAAGTAGATTTAATACTTGTGAACTTGGTGATACCATTTTGTCTCTATTCTATGTTGCTGTTTCCATGGTAGAGCTATTGATCTTTTATTGATTTGCTTGATGAACTGTTGTATTGGACTATTTACCACTTCTTCTTGCCACATAGTTTCTATAGGTATTTTGCTTGATTTGAGACTCTTTCATTCTATTGTTGATAGATTTATTACCTCTTTGGCTAGTCGGTCTATTTCTTCATTCTATAGATCATTAGAGTGGACTTTAACCTTGGTCAAAGTTAGTTGGATATGCTTTTTCTTTATAAGATCTAGCATTCTTGTCTATAATGACCAATTCTTTTCTTTTAGCCATCTTTTATGAATCATTTTTGGATCTTTTTTCTCTTAGCTTTTTCCATTTAGAAATGCAGACTTGACTATCAGTAAAAATCTCGACAGTACTGTCTATCAGAGCTATTAAAGCTATTGTAACCAGTACTATCAGTTTTGCTCTTGTGAACGAGTGCCAGTTTTAGACTCCTGTCTGAAATTTATTTTCTTTTCCAACTTCTTTTGTTTATATCTATGCTGCACATATTTTTGCATTCTTGTTTCCATAGTTAATTAAGGATCCATTGGAGTAGAAGATTAGCTTATCCTATGATTTTTAATTGCGCTGAAGAATTTCAAATGGGTGATCTTGATATATTCCTTGCTTAATATTATCTCTGAGTATTTCTTGTTCCCAATTTTCTATTAATACTTGTTCTATTTTTTCAATTTGGTCATTTGTCAGATCTTG